GGCCCCTCCACTTCCGACCCCTCGCCTCGTCGCCCTCCCTCCCCTCCCTCCCCTCCCTCCCTCCCTCCCTCCCTCCCTCCCTCCTCCCTCCTCCCTCCCCTCCCTCCTCCCTCCCCTCCTCTCCCTCTCCCCTCCCTCTCCCCTCCTCCTCCTCCCGTCCCTCATACCCTCTTCCCACGCCTCCTCTGTCTTCCGGCTCGCTCCTACAACAATGTCGTCGCCTCTCGGGGTATTCATGCTGCCTGCCTGCCTGCCTGCCTGCCTGCCTGGTCTGATTTTCTTCCTTCTCCAGTGGAAGCTCCGAGCTGCCGCCTGGGCGTACGGCTGCGCCTTCTATGCAGTGACAGCAGCAAGACTCTCACACGAGACGCATCTTCAGGTGTCCCCTCGTCCCGCTTCCGCTCCCCGTCCTCGTCCCTCCGCTCTACTCGACCCGGTTCCCACCTTCCCTCCTCTCTCCCCTTCACCATCTCCTCTTTGCTATCCCCTACTCATGCTGGCGGCAGGCGTTCTACATCAAGGCGCTCAAGCTTGACCCCAAGGCAGTCGGAAGGTCCCGAGCAGCAACAGCTGGAGCATGACGTTCTGACGCGTTGGCAGCGTTTGGTCTTTCTACTTTATCTGGGTCGGAGCTTGCGAGCCGGTGTTCGGGGCTGCTATCGACATCCTTCAGGTTCGAGGGAGGGATGAAAGGGGCGAGGAGGAGAATTGTAGAGGAGAGGAGGAGAGGAGGAGAATGGAGCGAAAGTGGCTGGAGCCTTCTGATTTTCTGCCATGAGAACAGAGCTTCAATGTACGACCATCCAACTTGCTCCTCCTCGTCACCCCCGCCTGGTGTGCTCCCACTTACAATGTCCCCTCCTCCCTCCTTTCTTCCCTTCTTCCTCTTCCCTTCTTCCTCTTCCTTCTCCCTCCTCCAATATTTCTCTCTTTCCTCACAGGCTGGAGCAGGTCGCTCCTCTTCTACCGATTGTGGACCCCCGACGAGTCGACACGGCACCTCTACCTGACTCTTTTTGCCTTCGGAGCCGTGCAGGCCTTCATGCTCATGCTCGTCACCACCATCTTTCAGTCCTTCTTCCCTCCCGGTGAGAGGAGGAACGCTGCTTCCAGGCCCCGCCAGGTCCTCGCCATCCTCGGCCTCCTCACCGGCATGGTCCTCCCGCCCTTCCTCTCGCGCGACTGGATTCAGACGGACACTCTGGCTTCCTCTCTCTCTATTGCCATCTTTGCCGCTGCGATGCTGGGCAGCCTCGCCCTGAGCGTCTTGGAGGGGTCAGTCTCAGCTGGAGAAGTGACGAGGAGGAGCGAGAAGACGAACGTTCTCAAGGTGGCGAGCGAGATCGCAAGCATCTGCCTCCATCCTACCTTCCGTTTTGTCCTTCTCTTCAGCGTCCTCAGTCAGCTCGGCAACGCGCTCTTCGCCACCAGCATCAACATGTACATGCTCTACGTCGCCAGCATGGGCTCGCCCATCTCTCCTGCCCTGTGCGGCGTCTCCTTCCTGCAGCCCGTGAGCTTCTTCGACGGTTGTCTCTTGCCTTCCCTTTCCGTCCGTTGGCAGCGTACGCTGGTCCCCGTCTGCTTCTACGTCGCTTGTCTCGCAGCAGGAGGAAAGCTCATGCAGGCGGCTCGCGACATCGGAGCAGAGAAGACGCTTGCCCGAGAGTTTCGCATCTACGGCTCAGCCCTGGCGCTCACGCCCGTCACATCATCCGCTTGGCTCCACATGCACGGGGGGAACGGCTTCTTTGTCCTTCTCCTCTGCATGTTGGTGGTGGGTTCTGCTGGGGCTGGACTGAGCCTCCTCCCTGACCTTGTCATTGCCGCCGCGGTGGATGAGGTGAGGAGGTGAGGAGGCGGCGCTGCTGCAGTGACAAGTCGAGCAGGACGCCAAGGCTAAGGGCAGGAATCGATCCGGTGCCTTTTACGGGGCCAAGCAGGTGGGTATCAGAGCTGGTTCAGCCGCTGCCTCGCTGCTCTCCGGTCTTGTCCTTGCAGCCCTGCAGTTCCAGCCCAACGAGACTCAGCAGCCTCCCCAGCTGGTGGCTGGACTGACGGCCATGTGCTGGTTCGTCCCTGCCGTCTTATACCACATGGCAGCCGGGGTGACCTCATACTACTTGAGTCTAGTGGAGCACAAGGAGAAGAAAGCTTGAGGAGAAGACGATAGAGCAGGTGACGCGAGATGGCCTGAGATATTTACTGTGGCAAGTAACAAACGATTCAAGTGTATTTCTGACAGTATTAAGAGTTATGTACCATAGCAAGTTGCAAGCACGGCACTTTGTTTGTACATATTCTACACGTCGGCAGTGGCAGCCATCACGAGCGAAAGGTTGAATCGCCTGCTAGGTACGCGACGTCTGAGGGCAAGATGGCGTTGCCGACAGAGGCTGCGCTGGGCGACAACCAGCTGAAATTGTCGAACTCAAACTTTGGGGTGCAGGGAGGAGTCGCGCGGTGGAACACACCGTTACTCCACGAGCTCTTCCCGCTAAAGATCGAGGTCTGCGGGCTCTTGGGAGTGAAGATACTTGCGCCCTCCAAGAATGCGGTGTTGTCGTTGCCTGCTGCGAAGAAATCCTTGAACCGAGCAGAGTTGGGCGAAGACAACGGGAATCCTTGCTTCGTTCCACCAGGCGTCGTTGCCAGCTTGGGGGAGTCCGAGAAGACTGGTCTCCCTCCGTCAAAGTCAACCCCGTTGGCACTCTGCAGGTTGCCGCTGACGCCCCAGGTCGGCGTCAGGTTGAGCTGGGGAGTTGAGCTCATGTAGTAGTTGAGCGAAGAGCTCTCTCTCTCGAGCACCAGGTCAGCGGCAGGGTTATCTAACGATGATAGCGGCTTGTTCTCCTTGTTAACCTCAACCTTGTCTTCAAGCTTCACTTCTTGTGCAACTGGTGCGCGGCTTCTGCTGTCATGTAACGGTATTTCTGTGACGGCACACGCAACTCTCATTGACGTTGGGTTTCGCACTTCGACACTGATGGGAGGGCGTCTCGAAGCCAGAGACTGAGATTTCTCTGCCTTTTGTTCCGCAGAGGGAGCTGAAGTCCGACTGAAGCTCAGTTGAGGAGGTCTAGATGCTCTACTCGTGTCAAGACTTGCTTTGCTTGTCCTGTCGAAGTGAGTCTTGCCGGCCATGTTCGAAACCGAGAACCCTGCGGGGATAGCAGGAGCCATTCTTGCAACACTCGAGGCACTGCCTCCACTAGGGTAAAACGGTTTGGAGGGATCGTTGCCATTCAGACAGCCTTCGCATACACAGTTGGTAGAGCACTTGAGACCAGCGCCAAAGCATTCACAGTATTTCTTCTGGCACTTGCTTCTCCTGCACCTGCACCCGCGCACAGTCTTCAACGTTCCATTGGGAGTGTGAACCTCCTGGTTCTCAAGCTCCAAGCTTGTGCCCTTGAAGGCCTACAGAAACATTTCAGCATGCGAGAAACCATACACAATAAAAATACCATTGGGTCATTCAATCGAACCAAGCGCACTGCCATCATTCGAGCTTGCTCATGCTTTCCATCATTATGGCAGTCCACACAAACACAGTCATTGGTACAACGAACATCGTTCCGAAAGCATGCGCAGTATTGCTTTAGACACTTAGTCCTTCCGCATCGACATCCCTTCTCCTTCTCTGACTTCTTCTGAGCATTGTCAGTCGGGTTCATGTCACTTGCGTCGGCAAACTTTCCTCTGGAATCAACTACAGTAGGAGGATTGGCACTCCCACTCGCACGAACCCTCTTGTCTCTGTGATTCAGTTAGTAAGTGGCGGCACATGAGCGTCAGACACTACCTCTCCATGTCGTTGCGACCTGACGCGCTCTCGGGCCTGCGCTTGCCGGCCTGCAGGTTCTTGTCGGACATGGCATAGGAGCCTGAGAACGACATTGGAAGCTTGTCTGTCACTCCAGGGCTCGCAGCGAGGGATCCAAGATCGCTCACGTCGCTGCAACCTCAACGCAATCGCAATAAAAAGCAAACGAGGGTACCAACAGCGATTGAAGTCTCGATGAAGAGTGAGGAAGATGCAGGAAAGAAGAGGAGAGAAGCAGTTGAGCAGAAGAAGAGCAGAGAGCAGGTGTGCAGGGAGTCAGAGAGCAAGGGGGCAAGCCGGGGGGGCGGGGGCAGCAGGAGGGGAAGGGAAGCGGGGGAGGGAGCGCAAGGGGAACAGGAGGACTGAGGCGGTTGGGAGGGAAGGCGGGATGAGGTCACCGGAGCACAGGGGGTAGGGGTAGTCATGACATGGGGTGGGTAGTAGTAGATAGGGTGGCTCTAGTGTGGTGTATTAGGGTGTAATGGGGGGGTCCTAGTAAGGTAGGGTGATTTGTTCAAGGGCTGCGCACGGGTGGTAACAGATTTAGTGGTAGTGGAGTTAGGGAAAGTAGGGGTGATATGAGGTATTTATGGGGGTAGTAGGAGGCCTCAAATACAGGTGGTAGGGTACGATACCCCGAGGGTGGGGGACTAAAAAATTAAAATGGGGGGTACTTAGAAAGTGTAAAGAATTGCAGGAACCGGTCATTTCCCCTTGATTAGTACCCCTACTTGCTGTAGGTCTCGAGAATGTTGAAAGGGTCCTACCCCACGAGGTGTTATTGGTCATTGGTCGTATCTCGTGAGATTCAAGGGGTGGGGTAGTGACAGAGGGTGCATGGGTGGGTAGTGCAGGGAGTACGACGGGTCGGAAGGAGAACAGACCCCAGGGGTGGTGTACAATGATAATGAATTATTAGATCAATGGGGTTGAGGTAGGGGTGGGCTCAGGAGGGGTATTTATAAGAACAACCCCACCCCATGCTCCCCCTTTATTCCCTTCCGGGAAGCTACGAGACCTCACTACCCCACCCTGGCGAAAGACAGGGTGTTTGGGCAGGAGAGTAAGCAGCAGGGGTAGGGTGAGCGGGGGGCGATACATGGATACAGGTCCTAGTAGCACAAGGGCTCTAGGGGGGTAGTGAGGCCAACGGTGGGGGGTCAGGGGGTCCTCGGGCAACGAAATCACAGGGGATGGTAGGGTACCCCACCCAAGATGGGAGGGGAGGTATTTTTGGAGAATATGTTCTAAATATGGAGATATTATTCTAATTATAGCCTCACGAACTGCTATTTTGAGGTTTTGTTTAGAAAAATATTTTTAAAAAACCCCTTCGGCCCCTCGTTTCCAGCAACCCGTGGAGATAGCATTCTAGGACTACCCCTACCTACAGATTTCCTCATAAGCACCCACCCAGATATCACCTCACAGATGTAGAATCTCAACAGGGAGCACCGCGAGCATTCCAAGAAACCTTTAAAATATTTAAAAAGATATTTATTATTATATCTATATAAATTCACTATTTTGTACCCTATTGATTTCTTATTATCCAAAACAAATATATTTTGTACCCATTCTTTTGTAAAACTTCTGTAGCATTTTTTGATGAAAACAGTTTTAGGGTCCAAAAGTGAAAACGGCCAGAAATACGATTACCACCCCTACCCCCCATCTTCCGTTCCATGGTACGGTACTTGTACTGAGGCAGGCTTGTAGCTTACGGCGCCACGCTTCAGGTTTCAGGCCCGTAACACTCTGAGGCAGGCTGGGCCCGAAGCTTCGGGATCACTGAGGGGACCCGGCCCCTTGACCGGAAGTCTCTGCTACCTGGCGCGGACCCACCGGAGGGATACTCCGGCGGTGATCACGGGCTTGCCTCGGGCTGCGAAGGGTCATGGTGGCAGGGAAGATATAGGGAAGGGGAGGGAGGAAGGGAGGAGAGAGGAAGCGATAGCTAGGCTTGCGGTAGCAGACGAGGAAGAACAACAGTTGTCAGTGCATTCAAGCGTTCTCAGGACCGCAAGTCTCTTGTTGGTCGTCAGCCCTCATGGCGAGGAAAACTTCAACAGCCGTTCTCCTCGTCTCCACCATCATCTTCGGCGTGATCTGTGGAGCATTCCTGGTGCAGCAAACCATCAGGCCCATTCGTTCTTCAGAGCTGACTCCATCATCTCCATCCCGTCATGGCCTCTCCCCAGCTTCTGCAAAGCGAGGGCGGCCAATGGTGGCGTCCAGGCAAGCCGTGCATGCGACGAACAAGAAGTATACAATGCACAACGTGATGAAGAAGTTGTTCTCACGGTCCTCATCTGTGAGTGTGTTCTTCCCCCTGATCAATGTGCAGGGCACCCGCGAGCTATAAGTTCAGAACTGAATACTACGAGGAAAGCATCAAGTCCGCTGTAGGGTTATCCTCTTGTGGTGGTTCAAGCTCAAGACTTTAGCAGATGCCCAGCTTGAACGAGACGGCGAGCGCGTCCTCAGAGAATAAAACCTCTGATACTATGGACCTGGACCTGGACCTGGACGACAACGTGGCGATGTGGTCGGCTGAGCCATACAAAGATGAAGACGGCGACATTGAGCTAGAAGACATTCTGTTCTATGACCTCCCCCTCTTCTGCTTGTTCTTGGGTATTCTTCTGTACGTTGAAGTGAGTGGAACCTGCTCGAACCTCGTCCTCCACTGACTCCTGGCCTTCAGGTCACAGCATGCCTGTGGCGTCGTGGACGCGATTTTCTTGTAAACACATCGATGTGGAAGGAGAGCGGATCGCAGGCGAGGGGGCAGGCAGCGAAGGAGAGTCAGGTGAGAATGCGTGTGCTCCTCACCCTCCTGGCTGATGCTCTTGGAAGCTGATGATATTCCGCCCTTACGCCACCTGGTTCGCCGTCATCGGCCTGTGGTTGGTGATCAAGAGCGCCATCGACGTGTTCGGCAAGGTGATGACTTGACAAGAGGACGCGAGCCCAGCGCTGACTGCTGCTCATGCAGTGTTACTGGAACTGGTACTGCTGGATGGACCTCGACTGCAACCTCCGCATCCTGACACCTGCTGTGGCGGAATGCACGTTGGACGTGATGATTCCTGCCTGTGTCTTCACTTCCATCCTCGTCTGCGGAGTCCTCGCGTGTGTGTGGTGCTTCACGAGGCCATGGTCGAGCCTGGTGCTGTTCGGTACCTTCATCACGGGCATCTATGCAATCTCGACGACAAGCCTGTTCGTCTATGCTCTTTGGGTCTTCACCGCCATCGGATTCAACTACTTCTATTTCTATGTGAGTCTCCCTCCGCTCCTCTGCTCTGCTTCACTTCCCCTCCTCTCCTCTCTGTTGGCAACTCACTCACTCACTCACATCTCTCCACTCACACACCCAGTCTCCCTTCATCTTCTCTTCATCAACCTTGTCATAGTTGTGGTTGACTCCCACCAGATTCTTCCATACGTGGCGGAATCCCCGTCCTGGTGTGAAGACCTCGGATCTCTTGCTCTCTCCAACCCGCCTGACTGTGAGATGAGAGATGGCGACAGGCAGCAGGTTTGCCTTCCCTCTTCCCCTCCAGAGCCACTGCCCCCTCACTTGCCTGAGTAGAACTGGGAGGCTTGTGCGGAGCCAGTTGAGGATCCGACCAGGTGAGAATTTGAGGGGAGGGGGAGAAGTTCATGAGTGATGCAGGGAGGAGATGTCAGTGTTGAGCTGGACAGAAACCGCCGGGTGGTACGTGGCAGATTTCTTCCAGAAGAACATGCGAGACTGGAGGATCTTGTGGAATGGTGAGCAACTCCCTGCTCCCCCTCCCTTCTCCTGCCCCTCCCCTCGCTCCTACTGAACCGACTTGTGGGATCTTTTCATGATGTTTGAGGTTGAGCAGGTCTGGTGATGAGATGCTTCGTCCTCCTCTTCTGCTCTCAGAACATCCGAGTGTTCGGCAAGGAGAACGTTCAGCACATTGGATCGCACGACAAGGTGAGGGGAGGCATTGACAGACAGGATGAGGGTGGAGGAGGGATAGAGCAGCAGGAGGGGAGAGGAGGGAGCTGAGTGACAGGGCAGCAGGAGGGGCAGGTGGACTGATGGCCGTGTAGGTTTTGCTCGCTGCCAACCATCGGACCTTCTACGACTTCTTCGTCATCACCGTCAGCGGCATTTGGGCCAACAGCGGAGCCTCGTTCTTCTCTTTCTACCCGGTACCTCCTCCTCTTGTCTGCTGAGCGAGGAGTGAGGGCGAGGCAGGTCCGCTCCTCCTTCTTCTACACCAACCCGGGAGGCATCTTACTCAACATGATCGCCTCGGCCATGGCGATGATCCCGCCGGTCCTCAACACCCCGAGCGACAAGCAGAAGGAGGCCACGAAGCCTTCCACCGACGCGAAGAGGTGGAACGACTTTGTGATCCGCAGGATCGTCAGCGAGCTCAGAACTCCCGGCACCGTCTGTGGGATCCATCCCGAGGTCTTTCCATGCTACCACACATCCCGTCTTCGTCCTCTTCCTCGTCCTCACCCTCCTCGTTGGCTACGTCGAGGCTCCTCTTCTTGTCCCTTTTTCGTCTGTTTTGCTTCTCATGTCTACTCACCTCGAGCTCAGGGCACACGGAACACGTCCCCTGACCCCTACGACATCCTCCCGACCAAACCAGGTAGGGCATGAGTGGAGGAGGGAAATGAGGACAAGAGGAGGAGCTGAGAAGAGGACAGGGATCGGGCGAGTGTCACTAGAGGCGGAGGAGACGCATGTCATCCCCGTGTTCATCAAGGGGATCGAGAGCGACTTGCTGGAAGCCTTCCGCAAGAACTGGTGGAGCAAGGAGACGACCGACATTTGTATCGGCCCTCACGTGGACGTGAGCGACCTGCAGAAGGTAGGGAGGAGGAGGAGGAGAAGGGACAAGGTAAGGGAGATTAACTGATATGTTGCCACAGAGATTGAAAGAGGGAGGCAATGCTGATGAGCTGAGCGTTGAAGCCGGTGATGATCAGGAGGGTGGCGGGGGTGGGCTGGGGGGTCCGGAGAAGAATCACCGTTGGCTTCGGCTGAATCAGTTGCTATTGCAGGAGAGAGAATTACAGACGCGATCAAGAAGCTCGCCGCGGCACACAAGGAGATGGTGAGAGGAGGTGGAGGAGGAGGTGGTGGTGGTGGAGCCTGGTTGGGGGTTTAGGGTAAAGGGGGGGTGAAGGAGGCTGACCCTGAGTCTTGCAGGAGGAGAAGGAGGCGAGGGAGAGCGACAAGGTGTGTAAGAGCTTGGGCGAGTGAGCTGACTGACAATGTGGCAGCCGTACCAGGGGGCAGGGCAAGTCTGAGGATGTAGAGGTCTGAAGTTAGACATGTCATGTTCGTATCTTTGAGACCGCAGTGAAGTCAAGCGAACAGAAGGGAAGAGAGGGAGGGCGGGAGTAGCGAAGCATGAGGAGAGGAAGAGGGAGGGGAGGGAAGAGAAACCGTGACAAGTCAATGCACCTTTGGTCTAGAGCTCCTCTTTGCTCGCTTGGCCTTCCGAGTTCTCCTGCAGGCGCGTGAGGTCAGCGAGCAGGAGGGAGGGGAACCTTGACGTTGAGGATGGTCAGCATCTGAGAAACGAGTGAGGAGGAGCAGGCGCAGCAGGACTTCTCACCGCCTCCTCCTGCTCTTTCCTCTTCCCCACCACTGCCAGCGCCTTCCGCATGCTCTTGACGATCTTTGACGTGTCAGCCTCCCCTCGCTCCCAGCAGGCCCTACCGTCTCCTCGGAGCTGTGGAAGTACTTGTACTTGGCGTTCCCTCCCTCACCTGCTCTCCTGCTCACCATCACTCGAGCACGCGCATCCCTCACACTCGATCTCCGTCAACAGTTCCCCGTGCTCCCCGTCGTAGAAGTAGATGCGGGGGATGTAGGAGCCGTCCACGTGCCAGGCCGCGTCCTGTAGAGACAGTCAGCGGCGGCAGCAGCAGCAGCAGTTGTACCGTGGGCTCCTCCTGATCCTGCGGCGAGTGAGCTGGGGAGGAGAAGGAGAGCAGCAAACCTCAACATTGATCATCACAAACTCTTTGGCGAGCTGCTCGATGCTCGTGCTTCCCGACACGACAGGCTTCAGCGCCTTCCATGTCGTCACCTCAAAGGATTCAGCCCCTCTGCCTCACCCTGCAGGCCCCGCACCAGCTCTTGTGGATCAAGATCATGGCCTGTGGAAGGTCAAGGGGGCAAAGCGGCAGGTGGAGGAGGAGGAGGAGGAGGAGGAGGAGGAGGAGGAGGAGGAGGAGGAGGAGGAGGAGGAGGAGGAGGAGGAGGAGGAGGCACAGGTTTCGCTCGCGCTTCTGCTTCCTTGAGCCCTCCCTCGAAGCTGAACCACTCGAACTGCTCGCCGAATCCTCTTCCATCCACCCTCGAAACTTCACTCGACAGTCAGTCAGTCAGTTCGCTGCATCAATTCAACTCACCGTTGGCACCTCCGCATACGGGATCCACCACTAGAGCATGAAACTGATCAGACCTCTCCTTCTCCTCCCTCTCCTCCCTCTCCTCCCTCTCCTCCCTCTCCTCTCCTCTCCTCCCTCTCCTGCCTGTCCTTCCTGTCCTGCCTGTCCTGCCTGTCCTGCCTGTCCTGCCTGTCCTCTCCTGCATCCCCTCTCCTCCCTCCCTCCCTTCCTTACCCAGCAGCAGCAGCAGCAGCAGCAGCATCAGCGTGCTCGGGTGCATTTTGCAAGGCCACGTTACCCTCATACCGACAATGAGGCGCAATGGAATCGCAGCGGGGGCGGCATGCTTGCTGCTGGCGGCGAGGTGAGAGAGAGGGAGGGGGGCGAGCGAAGCCTGAGCGATGAAGCAAGACGGAGAGAGAGAGAGAAGGAGGGAGGGAGGGAGAGGGAGGGAGGGAGAGGAGGGGACGGGGGGGGGGGGGGGAGGAGAAGAATGAGCATGAAGTCCTGGGATGACTGCCGTGTCAGTGCTGGGGGTGTCGGGAGACGTGGAGGGACGTCGATGCTGTCGCATGCCGTGTGGTGGAAGTCGAGCGACGCGCTTGTGAGACGCGCGTCTTTCCTCGTACACGTCGCTGCTGCTTGACGGACGACGAAGAGAATAACGGCATGGCAGACATGCAGGAGGCTGAAGGAGGCGCGAGAGTGTCTCCTCGAGTCCCTTCGCCTCTCGGAACAAGAAGATCAACCGCATGCTAAGGTCTCGTCTGCCCTTGGCTCCTCCCTACACTCTCCCCCACCCTCCCTCTCTTTCAACTCTTTTGGTTCATGTTTTGCTAGTTTGAGGCTCTATTTGCCTTCGCCACCTTCCTGCATAAGGAGGAGAGGTAAGAAATCGATCCTGTCTCTGCTGCTGGTGCTGGTGCTGGTGCTGGTGCTGGTGCTGGTGCTGGTGCTGGTGCTGGTGCTGGTGCTGCTCTTCCTCTTCAATCTCCCTCCTCTGGCTCCAAGCGCCTCACGTCCTGGCAGCGACCTCGAGCTGGCAGAGAAAATCTACCAGCAGCTGCTGGACGCGGAGGGGGAGAAGGTGAGGCTGCGATGGCAGCGGGTCAGACGCGTGACAGCCGGGCAGGTGGAGGTGCTGAACAGCTACGCGCTCCTCATGCACACCGGGACTAACCAGCGATGGGAAGATGCAGAGGAGCTGTACGAGAGGTGAGGAAGAGAGGGGAAGAGAAGGGAGGGGAGGGGAGGGGAGGGGAGGGGAATGGTCAGAGGAGGGACAAGGAGCAGGGGAGGTGGTAGAAGAGGAGGAGGGTGACGGCGAAAGAAGCTGATGGCAGCGAGAAGAGCGCTCGAGCTGGACCCTCACCACGCCCCAACGTTGAGCAACTACGCGATGCTGCAAGGAGAGCGGACGGACGGGCGAGGGAGTTACAAGTCGACCATGTTCTTGTAAGAGAGGAGGCGAAAGAGCTGGCTTCCCGTCACTTGCCATGCAGGTACGAACGAGCGATGGCGAACAGCCCCAAGGAGGTGAAGGAGACGCAGGAGAAGTACGAGATTGACGCGCTCTGAGTTACAAGCGCGAGAAGCAGCTCGAAGCTCGTCGCCCTCAAGCGTAATCCTTGTAGACCTGCCCGGCAATGACCAGACGCTGAATCTATCGAGCAAGTCATGGACAAAGGATTAGCGAACCAGAGCATCTCCCTCCTTCCTCTCCCCTTCTCTCCCTCCGCCTCCTTCGCCCCCCAAGTGTTTCTCCGTCATCGCTCCTTTCTCTCCATCTATCCCAGCAACAGCCTCCCTGCCTCACCTCGCTTGTTCCTTCATAAATCTCTGTGATCCTAGCGTCTCGGTAGTGTCGCTCCACCGGGTAATCCGTCACGTATCCTGCTCGCCCTTCACTCGCAGCTTCTTCTTTCGCATCTCACCGTATCCTCCCAGCACTTGAATCGCTTGATGCGAGCAGAAAGTTGCCGCTTCCGACGCCGCGAGTCTAACATGAAGGTGAGAACAAGTGCGCCAAGAGCTCACATTTGAGAATCCGCATTCTACATGCACGTGCGAATGCGAATGCTCTCCCTCCACATGCAGAAGCTTCACTCACTTTGCCATGGCCGCAGCCTTGATGAAGTTCTCCTTGTCATCTTTCATCTGAGCTGCTCGCCAGCTGGAGGCTTGTCAGACATGTTTGTCATCGGGAGGAGATGGGAACGTGAGGAGGCGGGCGGACTCAATCTTCATGGCCTGACAAGATGACAGTCAGCAGCGCATGACAAGCCTCATGGCGCAGAACCATGTCAGCGATCTTGAACTGGATGGCCTGCAGCTTTGAGATGGGACTGCCGAACGCCGTGCGCGTTTCCGAGTATCTTCACTCTATCATCTCCTTCACGAGTCCCTCACTCTCTACCTCACTGCAGCATCTAGCGAAGCCTGCGCTATCCCGACTCCCTGCCGACGGTCAGTGCCGGCATGCACACCTACAAGGTCACCTGGCTTGCAATTCCGATCCTGCCACCGTCTAGGGTCATCATGGCGATCTTGAAGCCCATGCCTGCCGTCCGCGTCAGCCTCCTCCTCTGCTCGCCTCGTTCCCTACCAAGATCGCCGAGGAGATGAGAGCGAGGGATGCGACAGTCCTCGAAGATGAGGCTGATGCGAGTGAGCGGCGAGCCTCGAGCTCCTCTATCACCTGCAGGTGCCCGACGCTCGGATCCCAAGCTTATCCTCGGGCTGAAGTTCCAAGTGAGAAGAGGAGGAGTAGGAAGCAAAGAGCTCTTACCTTTCCCGTGGTAAAGCCGGGAGTGCCTTTCTCTACCAAGAACGCGGAGATTCCTGTCATGTACTTGTCATGCTCCTGACAAGAGCTGCCGCTTCACCTTTGTGTTTGGCTGACTTGTCGGAGGTCGCGAAGACGATGGCAGCATCTGCAGTCGGCCCGTTGGTGATCCAGTTCTTAGTGCCATTCAAGACCTGGCCAATCGACATGAGAATCACGGGACCACTCCATCCGTTTCAATCCGTTACAAAGTGATCGCCATCAGCCACAGCCACCGTCGACGCAGCCCCTGAGCTCGTTTAGTCAATTTCTACGTGAGCCCTTCGCCTCACCTGCATCCGATCCGTTGCCGGGTTCACTCAGAGCAAAGCAGCCTACAGGAGGCAACAGTCAGTCCCGAGCTCAAGTCCAGCTCAGGTGCTGACCAAGCTTGTTGCCGGACGCAAAGTCAGTCAGCCATTTTTCTTTCTGCTCGGCTGTCCCGAACATCTTGATCGGGTCACTGCGAGCCGTCAGACAGCAGTCGGGATGTAGCAGGCCAACCAACCAGTAAAGCGAGTTGTTGGCGGACATGACCACACCGCAGCTGGCGCATCCGCGAGAGATTTCTTCGAGAGAAATGGCGTAGGACATGGTATCCATCCCCGAGCCCCCGAATTCCGTTGGCTGACTCACTCCCATCAAGCCCATCTCTCCCATCTTCTTGATGACTTCCACTGGAAGCTTGTGCCTACGACAAGCCTCACTCGCAAGCCCCTGACTCATTTCATGCAGTACTCTTTGTCCCACGATCCCGCGTTAGGGGCTAGTTCCTCATCAGCGAACTGGCGGCACATGCTTTGGAGCATCTTTGACATGGACAGAGATGGTGAGGATTGAGAATGAATGAAGGGTAAGGAGATCAGCCCATAATCGATAGTAACGCGCGTCCTCACTCACCTTATGCTCATCGCTGACCTGGCTATAAGTTGTGATACTTCGACACACATGATGCCGCAGTAAAGTCTTGGCACTGATGGAAGACCTGCCGGAGAGGGTCAGCCTCCTCCACTATCCATTCGTCACCTGCCTCTGAAGGCTCTGCCTCAAGAACATCCTGCGTATGCAACACAAGTCAGAGTCACGTAGGCACAGAAGCATCCATGCAATCAAACATGATCGAACACCTTTCCCGGCAATCATTTGCCTTTCCTGCATGCTCGAGTCGCTTCTTCCCAAAATCTATCCCCTGCCTCCGTTACTGTCTCTCTGGCTCTTCTCCTGCCCCTGCTCTAGTCTCGTTTCTCATGTAGCTGTCGCTGTGTCTGTCTCTCCCTCTCCCTCCCTCTCCCTCCCTCTCCCTCTACCTGTACCTCTAT